AATTAACTGGCAAAATACCAACGCAATAAAAACTTTTTTTACAGAATACTTTACTTTTTTATCATAAATTCAGATTTTTCAATAAAAAATATAGCGTCCTGTATAAAAAAAATGGTTGTGACCTTCGTATGACTTCGAAAATAATGTCAATGTCAAAAAATGTTACCATCGTTTTATTTCCACCTTCGTACAGAACGACTTTCATTTCAATATCATTTTCATGTAAAATGTAAGATTTAGGTAATAAACCTTTTTGTCTCATAGTTTGTATATAACATAATATAGTATTATGTAGAATGTTTCCTAATATAATACTCTTTTTTAGCGTTATTCTGAGCAAACGCCGTAATATTAGACTTATTTTTTGTATATTTTAATTTTTTTTTGATTACCTGATTATAGTATATAAATGTGTTATGGCAATTTAGTTTTTGTATGATATGTTTCGAAACATGGTGCGACACATAAACTTTTATGACATACATTACATTGGTACGCAGTTCAGCGCATTTGTTTAGACATTGCGCATAATACACAATTACGTTGCAAAGATTTTTGTTGTGAGGTTTCATTTGCAATTTTTGTGGGAAAATGGCGCCCCTGTAGTCGAAGATCGACGCCAGATGATGAAGGCGACGGTTCATTAGAATCTAATTTCAATAAATCCTTTACTACACATAAACGAAAGTTGGAAAAGGACGCTTTTTGCTTAGTTTTGATCATGAATGTACATGCGCATTCATCAATATCAACAAAAGTCGACTTCATGAACTGTTGTTATGACAAAAACTTCTTTTTTATCCATTCATTTCAGTACTATCCAGACGTCGGTGTGAGCAACTTCTACTTCACCACGGTTTAGCTTGGATTTCAAAACGGGCATTCCTTTTCGATTTTTTTTTTACAGTTCCGCAAACCCCTGTATCTCGGCTGTGCAGAAATTCTGCATGCTGTGGTGATGAGTACCACTTATCAATAAATAAAATATGACCCTTATTATGATATGGTATCATGAAATGAGCTACGATATCCCCCGAAACTACTAAGTTAAATTTATCATAATCTGTGTCTGAGCCAGTATACACAATAAAATCAAGTAAAAATCCGGTTTCACAGTCCACCAGGTCAAACAATTTGATAAAAAAACGTTTTCTTTTGAGAGGTAAGTACTGCTTGAACTTTAGTCGTCCTTTCCACAAGAGTAAGCTTTCATCTATACAAAGATTTCTTCCTGCATTGATGGTATTAGAAAACTTATTTTTTAGATAGTCAATTACTGGTTTTACTTTTTTCAAAGAATGATTTATTACATCTTCATTATTAGCAAAATGAAGATATTGCAGAATTTGTAGATATCTATTTCGCGACATATAGTCCCCAAATATTGAAGTTAGCAGAAGAGGATCTTTGCTCCAATAGTCTTTCAATGCATTTTTTCGAACGTGTCCCATATTAATTGATAATGCAAAAAAAATACGTAATTCATTTTCGGTCACGGGGCTCCACGGCTTTATATGTACACAATTTTTTTCAGGATTCTGGTCTTGATAAATATTGGTTTGTATTCTAATGGTATCTAGGAGAAACGAATCAAAAAAAAAAATCAAAATAATTTAATGGAGTATCGCCTTTTATTGAAATATTTTCAATAATGCAAGCTTGTCCAGTAAAGTCTTTTATTGAGGGGTAGTAGCAATTGTCATAAACCACATCAACATTAGGTTCATCGGATTGATCATCTGCTGTATCAATAGCTTCAACTTTAGATTCCTCTGTCATATCCAAATCAACTTGTTCATCAACCTCCGATTCACCACTACTCCAAGTTTCATTTTCGATATTCATTGTTATTATTATTTATTTGTCTTTGTATCCAGTTTACAGAAAGAAATTATAGAGAAATTAATAGTAAACACTATGTATATAAGGTAAACAAAAACAAAAACTCCCGTAACACGCCATATAACTAATTTCTATTATGATCAGTAACACTCAATTCAACATTGAAAGAACTAAACCATAATTGAAAAAATTCCATCTATCACGCCATCATTAAGTGATTTCACCCATCTTTTTGAAAAGTATTTCCACCTAGATTTCACCAACGTAAGGTTCTGTGCTGTTAGGTATTCCCTAAACTTATTATATATTTTAATGGAATGGTAAGAGTAATGTCTTTGACCTACAGTCTTATTTACGGGCGGTATAATAGCACGATTCTGAGATGCAATCCAAGTAGAGTAACCATGTGAGACAGTCGCGAATCGGTCCGGTGAATTTAAAATGTTATTCATAATTGCTAAGGTGTATAACTGTTTAATAGTAAATAAGTCACACTCAGCAAACAACAACGCAGATGGGAAAGTACGGGGCCTATGCATCATTATTTTTATAACACCTTTTTGAGACGTAATTAATTTCTGAAGGTAAGAATCAGCTGCAGAGCCCCATGCCAAAATGCCATATTGCAGGATTGCTTGTATAACTCCAAAATAAAATATCTTAATTGTTTTGAAATCGCATACATGACGTAATCTTTTGAACATGTAAGTACTACGCCGAATCTTGTCAACCATCCTTGCAATATGATACACCCAAATAAGTAGCAACTTGCACAGATGTAATCCTTTTACAATTGCAATCTACCACACAACAATCATTTTCATGAATTGGAAGGCTAGAAAAGATATTAGTGGTATCCTTTCTGATGGTAAATCTCATAAAATATGACTTGCTATCATTTAAAATAAGTTTACTGCTATTTAGCAGCTTAAATCTCAAATCTGCTATAGCTTTATCTTCAATATCCGCCCAAAAAAGGCCTTCCACAAACAGAACGGTATCATCCGCAGAAGAGATTAAGTCTCCATTGAGTGTTAATGAAAGCAAGTCATTTATATAAATTAAAAACAAAAGCGGACCCAAAACTGTTCCCTGTGGCACTCCGACATTCATCGATACCGAACAGCTGAGACTTTGACCAATCCTCACATATTGAGATCTCTCGTGCAGATAGTCCCACATTAATTTCAAAGTTATACCTCTCACCCCATAAATATCGAGCTTACGCAACAAAAAACTGTGATCAACCGTGTCAAAAGCTTTAGCTAGATCCAAAAAAACAGCTAGGCAAGGCCTTGATTTCTCAAAACTATTTTTAACTTTTGTTGTAAGTTCCGCAATGGCATCACTTTTGATTTACCCTCAGTGAAGCCATATTGATTCTTAGAAAGAATACTATTTTCATTAAAGAAATTTATCAAACGTACTTTTAATAATTTTTCAAAAATTTTTGCGAAATTATTTACTAAAGAAATAGGTCTATAATTACTTACACATTGAGGATCACCACCCTTAAACACAGGTACGACCACAGCCTTTTTAAAAGCTTCTGGAAAATAACCTAACACAAAACATCTATTAAATAAATTGGACAATGTAAATGCAATCAAATGAATAACCTTCTTAAGAATCATCGAAATATTATCGCACCCGGACGAGTTGCTAATCTTTGATTTTTGAACAATATCCATAATTTCATACTGATTAGTAGGCGTTATAAAAAATGAATTCTCACAACGTTGAATACGTTTGAGATCCTGATCATCAGATACTTACATACAAATGTTTCAATAATTTTTCGGCAACGCCTCTAAAGTACACATTAAACTCACTCGCAATACCCAATTCGTCATATATCTTAGTATCGTTATCAATCTTAATGCATGATATACCGTCTCGTAATTTATTTTTACCAGTTAATTCCTTGCCACACTTCCATAGCCGTCTGGTATCATTTTTCAGTTTACAAATTTTTCGAGTATAATAATCATACTTCAAACTGTTAATGATTTTTTTTAACATAGTATTATATTGCTTATATGCTGTTTTAATCTGGTTGTTTCTATCATCTAATCTGTACTGTTTATACAAGGTATCCCTAACATTTATAGATCTTACCACTCCGTCCGTAATCCAAGGCTTACGTTTCCTATTTTTGGCAGGAATTCTCTTTCTGAAAGAAGCACCGTCCCTGTGATTAGTTATTTTGTCACATATAAATTTAATTGCATCATCAATATTCAAAGGAAGATTTGTGAAATCTTGTGAACCCATAGTGCTAATAAACTTGTTATAATTAATTATGTTCCTGTACCTATTAGTTTCAATATTCAGATTACTATCACAACTATCAGGGAAATTCAGCTGCAAAAACACAGGACAGTGGTCTGTAATTTTTGAATGCGATATTATTGATAGAAAATTTTCCCGCGGGAGAGAAGTTTTAACGAAGATGTGGTCCGAACAACTTTTACTATTATTAAAAATTCTAGTATAATCACGGATATAGGGCTCAAAGCCAGCAGCGGCCGTTACATCCAAATAAAGAGCAGGTATTTGATTTAACTGCATATCCGGATGGATGTCAATATTGATATCTCCAGTTAAAACTTCATGCTCTCTAGTGCAGAAGGATTTAATGTATAAATTTAAGTTGTCAATAAAGGTATTAGGGTTAAATGAAGGTGATTTATAAATTCCCGTGACACCAAACCGACTCAAACCCAAATTAAACTCAATACGCAGAAACTTGAATCCACTAACATCAACGCAGTGGGACTCGTGATCAATAAATTCGTTCACGAGAATAACCACGCCATCATTTTTATTGAAATTACTATTGTTATAATATGTCTTATAATTATTAAAGCTTATCTCACTCACATGCGCCAGCTGCCAAGTCTCAGTCAGAACAATTACATCTAATTGAAATTTAATGGAACCTATCAAAAACTCCAATTCATTGAGGTGTGCGTTCAAACTCCTAATATTTAAAGACAAAATGCGAAGACATTTTCCACATGTGGAAAAGTCGCTTATTCGGCCTACAAAACTATCAAACGTGTCACAATTCACATTCTCATAAACAGTGTCTTGTTCAATATCCATTAAAAACTAAAAAACCTATTACAAAGAAAATCTAACAGAAACATCAACAATCAAATTGAGGACTGACCGACCTTTTTCAAGAGGTCCTGTTCAGTATCAATTGAAAGCGCTGGAGAATTTTCATCCTTCCTGACCATAACTTTATTCCTGAACCATACAAACTTGAAGCCGTTGACACGCGCCGTTTTCTTGGCCAGCATTAGCAGCTTGTTGTTTAGAGGTGTAAGATGTTCATTTAGAAAAATAGATTCACCAATTTTCAGGCCTGGATAGAAAGCATTAGTCACGACTAGTTTCTTTTTAGCAAGTAACGCATCCCTAGATGATCTTCTAGTAAATTGGGCTATAATAAGGGGCGTAGTATTTTTGTTAGTTTTCAAACGATGTGCAACATCAACTTCGTCCGGATCCAAAACAACATTTAGTTGGGCAGCAACCTTCATCACAATGTCTTTACAATTTTCATTTTGCATTAATGGAATTCCACTAATAATCAAATTTTTATTTCGAACATATTGCTCCATCTGATTAAGCTGGGTAGACAAATTTAATATTTCCCCATTTTTCTCAACAAGTTGTCGACTTAACCCCTCGCAGTTATGCTTAACGGTAGATAATTCACTTTTAAAGCTCTTCAACTCAGTTAAAATATTATCATAGTTATCAGATACATGTTGAACGAAATTTCTGAGTTCACTTACATCTTTTTTGAGTTCCGATATAGATTCACTCAATGGTTTCACCAACCTTTTAATTTCTGCCAATAATTCAGACTTTATAGAGGACAATGTAGTAGCCCCCTCAGTGTCGTCCGCTTCACTAGCTTTAATAGTACGACGACATGCACAGCTTCCACATTTCCACGGTTGTTTCGAATTTAATTTTTTGCGGTATACTACTTCATTTGAACAATTCATTTGTACAATCAATTGAACATTCAAAGTGATATTTTTGTTTACACTCAAAACATTCCGCAAAATCCGATACAATTTTTTTGTTACACGATGCACACGTCGACATCTCGTTAAACTTGTTTACGGCTCGAATATCGGCAAGACCATCGACAAAAATCCACGAAAATCAAGTATTCACAGAAGTCGAATGAACTTAATATTTTCACCAACAGATTCCCGTCGACTTACACTATACATATGTAACCAATTACCACCGAATCAGCAGCTAATAAACTTAAAAACAATACAATAAGTAGAGAGTGTTTAAGAACATGTGTTCACTCATAAACTTGAATTGTAACTTGAAATAATTTGTTTTATCCATGTAATATAGGTATATCATTTGTAGAAACTGCATTTGTCATGAACATGCATCGTCTGTGAGATTTATCAAAGTTATAACATTTCCCTTCAAAATGTTTTATACAAACAAGAGTTCGTCGTCTTACAATTACCGTATTTTCTCGAATCTTATCCGCACCTCGATTTTAAAAATGCATGGTGGTAAAAAGAATTGATTTGCAAATGTAATCTACACTAGATTGTAATCCGCATTTTATTTTAGAGCATATAAAATTTGTAAAACCGGTGCACATTACATGAACCTTTTAAGTCTTAATTTACTGGAAAACAGAACCTCGTAAAGTATTCAATGGATTTTCGAGAAATTACTCTTGCAACCAGGAATGCAACAAATATTACACATTTTTTAATTAAAAACATAAATAGAAATTAGAAACAATACTAAAATAGAACTAAGGCAAAAACAACCAAAAAATAGGCGGTAACGAATGTAATTTTAAAATTTTTGTGGAAATATGTATTAGCTAACGATACAATTAAAAACAATTTTGTTTTTAAAAAGTGAATACTGTGATGCAAAACAAGAATGAAAAAATTAAAGAAGACGCAGAAAATCTACAGAAGACAGCGATACGCCAAGATGAAGATACAAAATAATCAGATTTTAATAATCGATTTAAATTCCGCCATGTTGAAAAGGGTACCCAAAGGCAGATAATAAGATTTCCAATAAAGTTTAAGTGCCAAACAGACTTCCCAAAATTTTTGTTGAATTATACTGATTTCTGCTTTTTTGTGGATCATCACGATTATGTTGTTTTCCCAAAAATCACTCTACAATGTACAAACGGCGAGAATACCAGTTAAATCTCACAAAAAAAAGGAATATATTAAACACATATTCGATTTGGAATGACATTTATTGTGTCACCTCTGAGGATTAATTTCTCCCGTGCTCGTTTTACAAACGCGGTTTTGTGTGGCGTACGAAATGGCCTCGAATTTTTAGAAATACATTATGTACAACAGCATCATCAACTCTGTTATTAGCTTTTGATGAAGATAATAATAAAAATAAAACAATACAATAAAATCGATCTTAAAACACAAAAATCATCTTCTTCATCCGTATAAATTCTTTCAATCTTTTTTTCTTTTACATTTCAAAGTTCTATACAATTTTCAACAAATATTTTTTTAGCTTTGTTATTTTAATCGTAAATCAAACGCGTCATTTTTGATTCTTATTATTTTTTTTTTATAAATAAATTTTTCTTTATTCAAATGGCAACCATCATTCTGTGATTCTAGGACTTATGCGCGTTCGATGATTGTGCTCCAAACTTTCAACTTCACACCAAGCAGTTCTAACTTCAAAAAACAACTAGAAAAAAAAATATTAATGACATTATGGTGAGTTGGTAAAATAATTCTTACTTGGTTTAACCATGCTTCATCAGCCAACAATTCATTAAGTATACAAGTAGTATCTTTTTGTGGATCAGAAATACGTTTATCAGCAACTCTTTTAGCACATTCTATATACATAAGATACTTTTGATGAGTTATCTTATTTAAAAGTTGAACCCTGTTTGCGCATATTCTACACATTAAAAAATCCTAAAAAAAAAAAGCAAAATAATACTTTTATAAACATCAATAAATGAAATAATACCTTTTCATTTACAGCTTGTGGATTTGGTTGGCATCCTTCAAGTGTGGTTGAGTTGTATGGTTGTCCATACAACAAAACCCTCACAGAAACCCCCAAAAAACCACATCCTGCGCAATTTTTCGATTGAGAATCCGCTACTCCCAACTCTTTTATCACATTATAACATGGCCACGTGCAAACTGAAACTTCTGTTGGCTTGGACCAATTTAGTAGAGAAGTTAACTTTTCGGTTTTTTTATTGGTTATATCATCGATTGTTTGCACATTTGATAAAAAGTAATCGTCTTTATAAAAAATAAAGTTAGCGTTTTAAATTATTTTAGTTTTAAAATTACCTTTTTCTTGGAAAATTTCTGTCAAAAAGTTACTATCCAGTGCCTGAGAAATTAAAGTTTGGATGTAAACCTCAAAATTATCTTGATAAACTTCATTTTCCTTCAGAACCGTCGAAACAAAGTTTTCGTCAACAAAGGTCATTTCCCTTCGAAGAAATTCTACAATTGTTTCCATTTGTCCTTGAGATTTATAACGAACTGGTACTGTTATGTATTGTTTTTTACTTTCCGGAGTCCAAGAGGTATACTATTATTAAAAAATAATAAATATTTGAAAAATAAAACAAAATAAAAAAAATTAAAACAAAATTAGTTTAACCCTTTAACGCACAATGTTATGTAGTGTTTTGAACTAGGAATTCTTACACTGTGTGAATTATCAAAGTTCAACAAATCCTCTTATTCACTATCGCTCCCTATTCTTCATTAAACAAAGAAAATGATACGTGCAAATCCTATGAGCGACAAGTAGCAACTAGTGAGTGCGCAATTCTTGTTGGCACGATGCGAAACAAGCGCCAAGCGTAAGCATTGTTCGTTCAAAAACCATAAAATGGTTAATAATGCAAAGTACGGAATTAATAATTAAATAGCAATGTAGAGATAGATCTTTAGATTGCACGAGCGAGAATTATTTGCAAAGTGAAGAATGTTTTGTCTTCTAATTCATCAACCAGAAAGTCAGAGGTGGAAAGTAAGGCACCTAACTGTAAGAGAAACTCAAAATCTTGGTTCACAGAAGAGATGAAAGCACTAGCAAAAGAAAACAAGTAAGCCCACCTCATCGCAACAAGAAATAGAGTCTCCACCCGCATCCGCGGAGATTGACTTATATGGAAGCTATTAAGGAGTCTCAGCAAGGAAGTGAATGCCACAGCACAGCTAACTATAGACAGCCAGACCCAATACCACATAACGACAGAGGATGTGGAAGAAACAATGAGGAAAATCAAAATCAGAAAAGCGCAGAACCCAAATAACATCAAAAATGAACTCATAAAATATAGAAGGAGACCGCTAGCTAATCAACTGAGAAAACTATTTAACAATATACTCAGCACCAGGTAAGTGTCAAAGGATTGGAAGCAGGGTACAAGTATTGTCCTGCACAAGAAGAGGAAACTAGATGACCCTAACAACTACCGATGTATTGGATCCCACCGAGAAGATTTTTTCAAAGCTTTCAGCTAACAATAACACTTGTTTGGTGTTATTGTTAGCTGTGCCTATACGAGAGGAACAAGAAGAAGTTCCGGTTCTTCCAGCCCACCCATCTTTGTTTCGTGGACCTCAAAAAAGCATTCGACAAAGTGAGGCTCTCCGAAGTGCTAAAATTCCTTGAAAAAAGGCATAGAATCCAATATCATAGAACAGCAATCAAACAACTAAACACAGATAACAAGACAAAACTAAGAACCCTGAACGGGGAAGGGCCAGAAATCAACACCAAAGCCAGAATCCGAAAGGGTTACAGCCTTAATCCACAACTGTTTAACATGTTAATGGACAGTATAAACAAGGGTCTAGATGGAGTAAATGACGGATATACACTGGGAAGAATAACAATAAAGATTGTGTGCTATGCAGACGATGCCATCATCATCGCAGTATCGGAGGATGGACTACAACGGCTTCTGATCGCATTCAACGAAGTTTGTAACGAGATAAACATGAAGATAGCAAGAAAACGAAAAGAATGGTCATCGCTAAATCTCGCATTAGATGGAAAGTTGTAGTGCAAAAGCTACTAGATCATTAAGCAGCGTCGCAAAACGCCATAAAGGCAACAAGAATATCAGGTCCACTTTGCAACCCAATATGGAGGAATATAATGACGAAGCGTCATAGCAAGTCATAAGACTTTCGATAAGAAGAAGTCAGAGGTATTGGTGCTTATGCGGAAGTAATCAATGAATTGCAGGGTTTACTTTTTATGCTGTTTTTGACAACACTTTATCACTTTCATCTAAGTCTTTGATAAGCAGCTATAAGTGTACCAAAAATCTAATTTTTAGACTCAATCAATTCCTTTCTCGTATTTTCAACTTGCATTCTCGTTGCGGACTGTTCCTTAGGGTGCAACAAATATAGAATTACTCTATTATTTGAAGGATTGTGTTCTATATATAACCCGAAAGGACGTGCGCGTGAGTGTAATATGCCCAGATAACTTTTGAAGATAGTTTATTATGTCATCGACAGCAACTACGATGTTGGGCTTCTTCGTACTTTCCTCGGCCCATGCTTTATTACCTTTTTGTATATTTAGGACGTTCTTATTCTTTGCAGTTATAAGAATCGCTTTAAAGCTATTAAACGGTGTACTTTTTACCAATTCTCGCGTTGATGAGTACACGAGATAGATCGTTCGGTAGAATTCTGAATCGTTTTATAAAAACTGTTTTTGTAACCAAAGTGAATTATTTAGTGACAGTGAATTCAAGACCAGTGACCTCAGGATCGATCGTACGTAACAGATCTTTGATGTCGGCGTTGGCAAATGAGAAAGTGATTGATTATTGGTTCGACGAAGAAAGAGAGAATGATTCTGATTCAAAAAATGATTGTATTGTTGAAAGGAATCATGACAAGGCCAGTAAACAAGATAAAAGTTTCTACACCAACTAATCAGATGACGATATCCCATTGGTGTCTTATATTAGTTGGTACTATCATAGGAAGTATGGAAAAGAAATGTTCCTCCCAAAAATATAAAGACTAGGAATTATAATTTTGTATCCAATACACCTGGTCCTAGAGAAGACGTAAAAAAATTCTTTGGCGCCAATAGACGCTTGGTATGATCACTGATAATATATTAGATTTGATTGTGATGTACATTAACATATGAAATGCATAAAAATATATACAAAATTATTTGTGCAGATGGCGCCAGTAGTCCTATAATCTCGTTCTTGCTTTAACATTGTTAACATCTGCAGGTTAGAACGAGGCAACCAAAATGGTCGGCACACTTGCAACAGGCAATGCGAAAAAGCAAACAAGTAACAAAGATAGTGATTTAAGCGGTGATATTAGTGAATCATATGGTGATAGTGTAGTAAACAAAGATTACGCATCACTTGATCTAGATGCAGACTCAACACATTTTGTGGTAAGTGTTTTTTTAATTTATGTTATGGCATGTCATATTCTAACATTAGATTCTTTTTTAACGTGTTAAGGAGACTTGTCACATTGTTACGCTACATCTTTAAGAAGAATCCGCTACAAGTTCATCGATAGTAAGTAATATTCCAGTCAAAGTATATCGAAGCTATATAAAATGTAGATGGAGGCACAGAAACACTGATATGTATGTGAGAATGAAAAGAGAGATATGTGTAATTTATAGCAAGAGTCTTGTAGATGCAAAAAAAAAATGTAGAACTCTCTTGGAAGGATGTCATGAAATAGTTAATATTCTAGAACGAAAGTTTTGTCTCTTTAGCGAGCATCGGATGCTGTAAGGAGTCTCATTACAGCACCCATTTGAGTACTGTAATAGCTTTCATTATCATCGCGAATTACAAAAAGACTTTTACGTCCTATTAACAAACAACTATCCTTTTGATGGTCGCTAAGAACTACGCAAAAGTCAACTTTTAATAGCAGTTTTCGGAAAAAAATATTTAGTGAATTCAGGGACCTAGAATCCTATGACTTGCAGAATAGTTACCTCTTTGGGTGTATTCAGTTATCACCTAAGAAACGTTCCTACCGTAAAAAAACAACCTAGACAAGAACCTAGCAGATACTTCAATGTATTCAAAATATTTCGTGAGCGTTGGTGAGAAACACATCAGGTTTTGTAAAACCGAATTTATGAACGTTCATAATCTTCAATCCTATCGTGGCAGGATCGCGTACGGATAGCGTTTTCCTGATCGAACTACGTCTTCGACAAGTACCTTTTAGAGAGTTGTGAAAACAACAAGAAAAAGAACTTTGCGGGAAACTGTAAGTACGGAAGGAGGAAATTACGTTATTAGCTAGCGTTCAGGTAAACCCTCAAGTTAGCACTCGACAACTTGTAATTGACCCGGGAATATCGAAGGCCAGCATTTTAAAAATATTAAACAATGGACACAAGAACGAGTGCGGTTGGACGTCAATTTCTCTTTCAGAAACGTTGTCACGTCAGATTTTTCTTTGGTAACGTGCTATTTTCGGATGTGTCTACTTTTACAAACCACGGACTAATCAATAGACATAACATGTACTAATGGAGCGTTGAAAATCCAATATGGTTACGTAAAGTAGAACATCAGCGCAGCGCTGTTGGTCGGTTAATGTTTTGTGTAGCATAATCGGTGATACATTGATCGGTCCATACTTTATTGAAAATGTACTGAATAAAGAGAAGTAAAGGCCTTATCAACGTTACTAGAAGATTCAAGTTTGGAACAAAGATAAAATAACTTCGAAATGAGTTTACTTTTATCCATAGATTCAGATTTTGCAATCAAAAATGGGCCATTTAAAAAATTGGTCGTGACCTTCTAATTCCTTCTAAATAAAGCCAGGGTCAAAAATGTTGACGTCGTATTCTTTTTTCCTTCGTATAGGACAAGATTTATTTGGATATTTTCATGTTAAATGAACCGTTTTTGAGATATTCGCTTATCTCAAGTTAAATGATCCTTATATATGGAAACGGTCGGTTATCTTCTAAATTAAGACAGCAAACAAAAAATGTTAAGATACAAAAGTTATAGAGTTTTTGTAAAATCTATTACAATAAAGACAAATTAAGTAGACAGGGTCAGTCAAAAAGTTATGACGAAACATAGTTACGTTTTCTTTAATAGAACATCCTGTATATTATTCCATATTTAACCGTTTTAGAGATGTTGAACTTTGAAAATCACTCTTGTAAAATACACAAAAATAATTTAGACAATTATGTTCACAGTTCATCAAGTTATCTTTGAAAGTTCCTCATCTCCATAGCAACGCAATGACATAACACATGTCAAGAATACAAAAATAGTTTGAATAATTTGTGCCCAAAGATAAATTATGGAACTAATTAGATAAAATCGTAAATTCTTAAAAGCACGATATCTAGAAAACGGTTAAGTTTAGGTTTATGATGTGCAAAGGAATTTTATTTAGAATTTCGAGATAAACCGACATATAGAATAATATACAGGACTAACATAACTTTTTAACTGACCCTGTATACTTAATTTGTATGTATTGTAATAGATTTTAAAAAACACTAACATTTCTTAACATTTTTCGCTAGCTATCTTACTTTAGGAGATAACCCATCGTTTTTCATACATATCAGCGACCCTGTATATAGAAAAAATACGTCCACAGGTTCCACTAGAACGTACCGCAATGTCTACAAATAAATCCGCAACATCTAAATACGCATATTCTATTCATCTCAAGTGTATCCAGGAAGAGATTTCTTTGTCTTCGTTTTGATGATGTGAGAGATCGGACTAAAAGAAGAAAGATTGATAAATTGCCATCTCTCTAAGAAATTCTTTCAAGATTTCAGGAAAATATGCAAAAATCATATGTAATAGGATAATACGCTATTACATAATGAGCAAACCTGCTCGATCTGGACTATAATTTTTGTTGCTTTGTGATGCTCAAAATGTTATGATTTTCAAAAACAAATAGCAGGAGCCCCCACACAGATTCTTGCAAAACAACATTTATAATAGCTAATAGCACTCCATTTATAACCAAATATTTCAAGGTATTCTCTTCTATTACTCAAAAATATTTTAAGAACTTTTCACAACAATTATCTTAGTAAAACAAAAGAATGTTCATCACGCAAACTCGTTGTTGTCTCAGAGTACAGTTAAAATTTAGAGATACATTTTTAAAGATGGTCGCAGAATCGCAGCACCTCTAATTTACAATTGAACAGTAACTTTACCCTTTGGAATGACTTTTAATAACCAAGGACAAGTACAACAAGCAGAAGAGGCAACCAACCTAAACACATTTTGAATCAACACATGCGAGGAATCAGGCACATCATGATGGGATGTTACAACACTTTTTTCTACTTGACCAGCAAAATTAACCTAAATTAATTGAATTAAAAGTAAAAATATTAAAAATTTTAATCTGCATGATGAAAATATCTATAATGGTTTCAAATTACCAACTTCTTTCTATGAAAAATCAACCCAAATACTTAAAAATAAAGCAGTTTCTTTTATCATCCGTTTTTCTATCATTCGTCTTTTCAATGGTCGTCTTCTTAAAATACAAAATGAACGCAATTCACACTAATACAATCTTCCTCTCTTTTTATATGGTGATGTCTTAACACCTCCCATAAAATTATCATACAACATTACCTTTGAGCTTTGGTTTCAATTTGAATATTTCAAGTTTTTCGTTATTATAATAGATAATAGTGTTACAAAACCTTTCCTCTTTGATAAATACCTATCTTGGTTTTAAAACCAAATTCGATTTCTTCAGGTCAGAAATTCACAAGAATTCCAAAAATTTGTGCGTTAAAAAGCCAAAAATAATTTTTAAAAATCTTACAGTTGAAATATTTCTATATAATGTATATCCATTCTGTTCAAAAGGTTCATATTTTTGCAACAAAGTTTTTCCATCAACTCTCCAAATAGCTGGCCACTCTTGAATCAATTCATTTTGAATAACCACAAATTCACCAATCTGTCAGAGAAAAATAAGCAACTTTTAATGAAATCATTTAAAAAATATAAATATCTTATAATCTAGCAATTCGGATACATACATCAAGTATTCAATAAAACAAAAAAAATTATTAATATAGGGCTCACTATTACCATCCTCCTAATAAACTATCTATGAGGAAGTATTTGTTTTAAGCGCTCTCGTTGGTTAAAATATGGATTTATCTATCAGATAATTTTTGTCAAGAGGTGGTAAAGATGAACCTAAATTACACGATATATACGGTCGAGGTTAAGAATTAAATTTCTCAATTGAATTCGAAGATTGATGTACACTTCATTTTATTGAACACATTTACCCAAATTGTAAACTAACCTGACATTTTTCCTTCAACTTGTTAAACTATAACCAATAAATTTAACACGAATAACCATCAAACTTTTTCTTTAAACTATTTACGTACAAATTTACCTTAAAAAATCCATCTTCTTCGCTCGGCGATTTCGTTCCTGATAGGATGTGATCTGATCTTTGTTCTTTCCGTTTCCGCCGCGCGTTCAAGTCATCTTCCGTACTTTGAGCTTGTGGAACAACTAATTTGAAACCTTTTTTACGACCTAAAAACCAATAAATATATGTTATCAAAAATATATAATATACAATATTCTTTAAGAAAATATTCTGTACTATCAAAATTTGTTTAAGTGATATTTATGGTCATTCAAATTAAGAAATTAAGGTAGCCTTAAGACCATGATTTAGAAAGTAATAATGACGCCTTAAGTATGCAGTTAAAAGACAGGTACGCAGTTTTATAAACATTGCGGAACAATGCGGTTCCGATTTCTCTTGGAACTAAACGTTTTTGAAGATGCAGTTTTTCAAATTTGTAGTGTTCATTTTGTTGTAACGTTTAACACTAGAACATGCTTATTCATTAGTTTAGGTAAGTTATTATAAGATAAAGATGCTATAAAAATTTACAAGTGGTCCCGATAAGTTAGACCTCTGGTAAAAAAGCTGGAAAAGGAATTAAAACTTGTTGCACTTCCTGCAGAGTTACAGGTGTCTTCAAAGCACTGCTATTTTTATGCCAATGGATTAGCCATGATAGTAGGAACCGCTAAACTAATAAATCGCAAAGGAATTGCTTAGAACGAAATCATATGTTATTAGAAAGAAAAATGTGCAAATGGGTTGGTATCTGATGAGATCTATAAAATAATTTTACGACATTATAAATCTTTGGATAAGGAGTATAAGGAGGATAAGCATAAGGAATAGGTGGAGATCGACATCGTCGGTACTTACAGGTACATAGGAGGTACATACAAATACCCAATGAAGGAAAAAGAAAATAAATTTGATATAAAATGAAAAAAAGGTCAGATCGATTACACACACTCTGCATTATCAATCGAATCTTTAGATCATCATGTTCTTGGGGAAAAACTTATGGAAAAGATGCCTTTGGAATTATTTTGTTTATATTTCGATGATGAAATGTTAAATTTAATTATTAACTTTTGTGTAAAACACGCACACGAGAATAATCGACTAAACTTTCGTTTAGACAAAAAACAATTATTAAATTTTTTAGGTATTGTTTTACTTTGTGGATATCACACATTACCAATCAGTCCTATGTATTGGTCTAATAAAGAAGACAAAGGGGTCGAAATTGTCAAAAAAACTGAGTCGTAATACATTTCAGAACATAAAACGAAACCTTTTATCAGATAACAGTCTATTAGATCCATCTGATAAATTTGCAAAAACACGACCATTTCTTCATCTTCTTCTTCTTTAGTCATAATTTATCTATTGATGAACAAATTGTTCCATATTTTGGGCGCCATTCGTATAAAATGTTTATCAAGGGGGAAACCGGTAAGATTCGGTTTCAAATTGGTGTTTGTGTTCATCCGACGGATATTTATTTCACTTTGAACCTTACGCTGGAGCCGAAAAGGAAACTGGAAAATCTAAATTTGACTTGGGTGGTCAAGTAGTTATGCAATTACTCTTTGTAGTAAAAGATCCTCATGGTCATCGGTTATTTTTTGACAATGTCCTTTTATCGTTTGATTTGTTTCCTGTATTGAAAAATAATGGTTTTTTGCTACCCGTAGTATAGGCGATAACCAAACGAAAAATTGTCCGTTAGAAAACCTAAAATGTATTTCAAAGAAAGAAAGGGGATTTTTTGATACAGCTTATAATACTAGTTCAAAAATTTCTGTAGTACGATGGAATGATAACTCCGTTGTCACTGTAATTAGTAATCGTTTGAATGTGGAGTCAATACAATCAGTTAAGAGCTACAATACACAGAAAGAAAAAAAGTAAACACTAGTTAAATCAAAATTATGCGATATCAGAATACAATCAATTCATGGGTGTTGTAGATTTACACGATAATAGAATAGCCAACTACAAAACAAGAGTATTAGGAAAGAAGTGTTGGTGGCCACTATTTATTAATTCATTTGATAGTGTCATTGGATAGTTCACTAATTATGGAGCCAGGAGCAAGGTTGTCAAGTGTAAATCCGCGCTGAAGGGTACCGATTTGGTAATAAAGTAGGACTTAACAAGGAAGCGCCAAGAAGTTTATCTAGGATTTGCGAAAGAACATTTTTTGAAGAATACATGGAATTGTATTAAATTGATTTCGATTTGATTTATTTGTTTACTATTGTAGTTGTTATTGTGCTTGTTTTACCATTATTATTGCACGTATTATTATTTTTTTCAATGGTTCAATTTTGGTTATATTGTGTTCAGATATATATGCGCGTTTTAATGGCATATGGCTATAATTTAATTAATTATAAATGTTTACTTCTACGTTTTTGATTCTATTTCTTTAGCTCTACAACTCTTTTCCAATGTATGTATTATATATTAGTATTATGTAGTACAGTAGTAGAATCTGTGACTCGCAATGTTGATATTACACTTGGTGGCACGAGTATCCCGATTGTGCCGCAGGCCAAAAACTTGGGTTTAATTATTGACAATTCTTTCAGATACCGCAATTATATTTCTTAAATAATTGGAATAGCTTATTAAAATTTAAAATTGTTGTACTGTTTTAAAGACATTTTTAGTGTCAAATTGAAAACAACTCTATGTGAGGCTGTGGTACTTTCGTTGTTTAATTACTGTAGTCCGGTTGCCCAACCCAACATTGATTCAATGTAATCGAAGGTGTAACTATACATACATTCCTCCAGGTGTAACAGGTGGGAAATAGCAGACAACAATGTTAAAGGCCGATTTCGTCTTTTTAAAGTCAATCCGTACAGCTTTCAAGTCAATTGATTCAATAGGACAGGAGGCAATCATGATATTCGAAGTAGNAAATCATATGTTATTAGAAAGAAAAATGAGCAAATGGGTTGTATCTGATGAGATCTATAAAATAAATTTACGACATTATAAATTTTGGATAAAGGTCAAGCCTACGATTATTTGAAAGAAATATGTAAAATATGAATTTTTTCAAATGAAAGATTTAAGACTCCTATGTTAGCCCATTTAGTCCCACTGGCGTGAAAACGCACCAGCGTTTTTAAAATTATTATACAGCCATATATTCCCAAATTTGAAGGTGCTAGCTGTTTGTACGATAATATTATAAGGTTGTTAGACTATACATATCAAAATATTTCATAATTCTTGCTATTTAAACCATATTTGCATCAATTCTTTTCTATTGAAAATTTCTGTCCAAAATATACAATGGAAATAAAACTATTTTTAGTGCATAAAATGTTGGCATTTGCAAGTTATATCTTGCAACGCGAAATAAAAATATGAATTCTGAAAATACGACTTGAAACATTAGTGGTGCAAAAGCACATCATTGGGAAAGATGTATGATGAGATATAAGGATTACATAATCTTTCGTATTATCAGAAACCAGTTTAGACGCATTTATTCGGTGATATCCCTAGAAATAGTCGTTTATGGATATAGTGCGTCAAGAGCGTGTTTTAGTGCAAAATGTCTAGGTTTCTCACAAAAATGGAATTAGAAGCATCTCTAGAAGAAATAGTTGCTGAACTGGAAATAGAGAGAAAGGGAGGTAATTCTTTAAGTAAGGTAATTTTTTTTGTGGTTTAAAATTTATGTTTATTCGATATTGACTTTAGCCTTCATGGATGCTGTTTATATTTCTCCTCCGGTTGACTACCTAACAGATGAGGAGTGTATATGTTACCGTCAATTTGTATAATTCAGGTACTCTATACAATGCCTAAGTAATGTATAAAATACCTAGGGTGTCTAAGCAATGTATGAAATATTATGAACATTATTGTCCCTTACTTTACCTAGGTAATGTATACAATTCTTAGGGATTACATAGAGTACCTGTTGGTCGATCGGCAATGTGTAAAATAAATAGATTTTGGTCTGTATTTATAAATTTGTACTCATAATAAACTTTTTTATAATCTATAAGTTATTCCACACAAAAAAGGCACCTAGTACCTTTCTCTAACTATAGTAAAATCACAATTAAATTACATTAAACTTAAAATTTTTCTGGGTTAACTAACATAAAATCATTTGCTTATAAGTAATCAAGTAATAAGTATTGATAATTTTAATGTGTTCATACCTTCTAAAGAAGTTTTCTTCGAGATAATGTTTTTTCGTTTGAGTTTTTCGCTTTTCATGTATAGATCGCTTTGAAAATTTTGACTGTAAGTTTTTTAAACTGTTTTATTTTAATATTTTAATGTGTTTTTCGTTTTTTCGTCTTTGCTAGTTTCGACTGAAGATGAGGGTGTAACCTCGAAACTAGTCTCGATATATATTTAAATAAAAGCAAGCTAAAGAAGTTTTTTCTAGTATATCTTTTTGGTATAATTTTTAGTAGATCTAATGGCCTCTCAGAATTGAGTAAGTAAAACGTCTCTCCCTTCGCTGTTCTCGCCTTTTACACACATTGCCGGCTTCGCATTCAGTATTTTATAGAATACCTAGGCAAAGTATAAAATTAATAATATTTCATATATTACCTAAACGTTTTAGGTATTCTATACATTGCCTAGGTATTGTACACATTCGACCTTCCTCAGGTACCAGAAACATTAACAGCTACATGTGGAGAGGACACAGCGATCTTAGCTGCTGCAGAAAATGAAGTAGTTGCAGCAAATAAGTTACAATTGGTCTTAAATTCAATAGAAAACTGGACCAAACGATGGCTAATAAAATTAAATACAAATAAATCGACATACATAAACTTTACTTATAAGAAAGTAAACTATGTCTCAGTACACATAAATGGCAATGTAGTCACAGCAAAATATCTTGGTATGACGCTGGATGCCAAATTCAAACGGAAAGCTCACATCAAAAAAAAAAAAAACGTGAAGAACTTGATACCAAAGTTAGACACTTATATTGGCTTATTGGCAGAAAATCTACGTTATCACTAAGAAACAAGTTGCTAATATACAAGCAAGTATTCGCAATGAGTATTCATACAGAGTAGACGTGTGGCATCGCTCTCCCTGATATAATTTACAAATCTCTTTAAAATGTACGGTACTAGCGGTAAAACCGGTGGTTCTATAGTGGATGAAGATAGTATTGTGGACAAGATAATTGACAAATTATTTCTATCGGACGAATTTTTCGAAAAAATGTCGCAAAAAGTAAGTGAAAAAGTTGTCCATAAGCTACAAAGTCAACTAGATGAAACAAATCGGGAAGTAAAACACCTTTAAAAAACAGTTGAATGAGGTTAATTCCAAAGTCGAAGAGCTTGAACAATATGCAAGAATGGATAATCTTCGTATTTATGGTTTAACTGAAATGGAGGCGGAGAAAACCGATAAGTTGATTATCAACTTGTTTCGTGAAAAACTGGCTCTCGATATCCAGCCGTATGACATCAGCATGTCTCATCGGCTGCGAGGTAAAGAAAATAGGACAAGACCGATTATTGTGCGATTAACAAATCGTAACGCAAAAAATAAGGTCCACAACAATAAAGGTAAGTTGGAAGGAACTAAACTCGTGATCAAGGAAGATCTTACGTCTCATCTCTAGCCTACTTGTTAAAAGAAGCCACAAAAACCTTGGGTACCAAAGTTGTCTGGACAAGTAATTGTCCAGAGATATATTGAGATATATTGTGGTGAATTTTGTTTAGTTTTCATTATTGTTATTACTTTTATTTTGTTGCATTTTATTTTTATATTTTTATTTGATTTGTAGTTATTCTTTTTTTCTGTATATTAGTATTCTTCTACTTCAATTGATTATTACTTCATTAATTTAATTTAAGGGTCTATGTAAATTGCTTCGCATTGTTATGATGTCAGGGCTGCTTATCGGTCATTTAAATATTCGTTCACTACTTCCAAAATTAAATAGTGTATCTCAAATTTTCTATGATATGAAATGATATATTTTGTGTTTCTGAAACTTGGTTATCTTCAACTACATCTCATGACATGATAAACATTGATGGTTATAAATCTTTCAGGAGGGATAGAGTTGGGCGTGGAGGTGGCGTGGCTATGTATATGCGCCAGCATTTGCAGAGTGATATCATTAATTGTATAGCTGATTATGAGCAGGTATGGGTCTCTGTCAGGACCAAATTGGGTATAATAGTGATTGGTTGTGTTTACAATCCCCCTGGTTTAAATAATGTTCTTTTTAACAGTCAACTGGAATCCCAGTTGGTTGAGTTTAAAATGTCTTATGATTATGTGTTGTGTCTTAGTGATCTAAATATAGATTTATTGAATTTGCATAGTGCGGACACCAAGAGATTAATGTGTTTTTGAATCACTGGACTTAGTACAATTGATTCAGAGTCCTACAAGGATCACTGCTAATTCTTCTACGTTGCTGGATATAGTCGCCGTGTGTGCATCGCTTGTTGTTCTGGATCATGGTGTGCAGGACAATGAAGCATCTCACCATGAAATTGTATATTGTCACTGTCATTGCTAAGACGAGATTTAGAAGAACTAAAATTGCTGCTCATTGGGATTATTACAAACAATTAAGGAATTATACAACACTTGCGTTACGTAATGAAAAGAAGGCCTATTTTGAATATCTGCACTCTCAGACCAGTGATGGTAAATTGTGGAGTGCCATTCGATCCATTAATGCTGTGCGAAATAATAAAAGGCAAATACCAATCACTTTAATGAATGCTTCTGAAATTAATGCCGCTTTTCTTGATGGTGTCCCCTTCATAAATAATGATGAGAATAGTGAGGATGAACTCATTGATAATTAAATAATACCGTATTTGACAATATAGGTATGAATTTTAGGCTGGCATTCGTTGATGAAGACACGGTACGAAAAATAATACTAAGTATAAAAAGCAAATCTGTTGGATCGGGTGGGATTTCCATTGACATGATTGGGATGATGCTTTCTTGTATACTTCCTTACATCACACATATAATGAACAGTTGCATAAAGTTTAATTACTATCCTGAACAGTGGAGATCGTACTATCGTACTTCCACTACCAAAAAATTCTTCGCCAACAGCTTATAAAGATCTGCGTCCTATAAGTATACTACCTGCTCTCATTGTCAGTAAAATATTGGAAAAGATTATATGTGGTCAGTTGAGAGAACATTTGAACCTTAATAATATTCTGTCTGATTGTATACTTCGTCCCTGGTCGAAGCTGTACAACTGCTTTATCACATGTTACGAATGACCTTATAAAAGCAAAAGATGACAATGATCTCAGCATATTAGTTCTTTTGGACTTTAGCAAAGCGTTGATACTGTCAACCATCGTGTATTGTTGGCAGTTCTTCGACATGTTGGTTGTGATGAGTCGTTTATTGAGATGATGTATTGCTACTTAACCAATTGTAGACAATGTGTGAAATTGAATGGTGAGTATTCTGGTTTTTCAGATGTGACAAGGAGTGTTCCCCAGGGTTCCGTATTAGGACCATTACTTTTTTGTATCTATACGTTCTTGCTACCCAAGTGTTTTAAACTTTCTGATGTTCAATCCTATCCGAAAACCTGTATGTATAATTGCTTATAATAAATACATGAAAGGTGTTGATTGTGCAGATCAATACCTTTCGTATTATTCAATTACTAGAAAATCCATAAAGTGGACAAAAAAAAATTGTTATGTTTTTCTACAACTGCGCATTATTTAACGCATATCGCGTTTACAATATGCTCAATGTAAAAAAAAATTACATATGAACAGTTTCTAGTCAGTGCAGCGAAAGAACTAATTAAAATTGATGAAACTATTGCATCTGAAGAGGATGATCCAAGGCCGAGTCCCTCACGAGCACCACATCAAGATTCTCTATTGAGACTATCAATGAATTTTAAATCTCATTACATAACAAAAATTACGAGTGTCGGTAAAAAGAAGCATGCCCAAAAGGCTTGCAAAGTGTGCAAATCGCACGGAAGGCGAAAAGACACTTCCTATATGTGCAAATTTTGCAATGTTCCATTATGTAAAATTGAATGTTTTCAACGTTATCATGCATTAAAACAATATTAAATAAATTTATTTTTGGTTATTATTGTATGATTTAAGTTTTAAAATTGTATACATATAAGTACTTGTTAACAGAAAAAAATAACGAATTATTTCATACCCAACTATGGTTTTTATTTAAAAAAATTAAATTAATAGTAATATATGGAGAATAAAACATTAGAAAAATATTCTACCTACGCCACTGCATTCTTCGTAAAAAGTGGTGTGTTTCCGTGCAAAAATTAAACTTATGTTATATGCAAAAATATTTTATTACACCTTCAACTAACATTTCGCTACTCGAGAAATGCGGCTCCGAGCGGCATCCACGTTGTGAAGATGCCGGCAACTGACGTTAGCCTAACTGTATATTGAGCGGACGCGAAAGTGTAAGAATGTAAATATTGAAAGGTTTAAGGCGGTTCTATACAGATATATTTTTAACAACAATGAGAGGTGATAGTGACTTTTCTTTCTTATCGTTCGGTCAAATGTTTAATTTCGGTTCTTTTTTTTGTTTTTTATTATGCTTTAGTTTGTTTGCGGATTGTTAGGATAGGTAGAATAGGTATTCAAATTTGTTTATATTCTAACATGATTTAAGGGTTCGCTTTAAAACCAGGGAATGTCTTACGGGATATTCATCTGAACCGCCCCTTGAGGTTCTCCAAATACATAACTGTACTGTAACTAGTATTAATATGTTATTTGTTGTGTAATACGTTATGTTGCGGAATAAAGACATTTATCATTATTATTGAAACCAAAATGAACATACGGAATCCAACTGTGGGGTTGTACCTGCAAGACAAATGCAAGTCTGATTCAAAGATTCCAAAACAAAGTACTAAGGTACATAGTGAATGCACCTTGGTATATAAGAAACACCGACCTCCATCACGACTTGGAAGCAGCATCGGTCATCAGAAATTGCATCATTCGCATTTAAACATGAGAAGAGAATGCACGATCATCCCAACATCGAGGCCATCCAGCATCTCGACAACGAAGATGTCCTGCGTCGCCTTCAGAGGATGAAGCCGTTCGATTTAGTGCCCTAGTCGATTCAAACGCGAACAATAGTGCGGAATTATAACAAAAACAGTAATAACCGAAATGTATATTCCGCGTATCGCAGTGCGCGCGTTTTTGTGTTTTGATCTTAAAACGGTAAAAATATGACAATATTTATCTATATTATGTGTAACGCAGACTGGACCACTGGGAAAATCTGCAAAACATTATCTTGTTTAATTTTGTGTCAAAAATAAGTAACTAATTAGTATGTATTTACTAGGTGTTATGCAATTGTGCTATGCATGATATAAAAAAAAATTTAAGGACCGCTCATGAGTTTTCTCGTGTTGTGCAAAAACGTACGATTATGTCTTACAGATTTCTCTGCGGTTCTTAATGTGTTAACACGTTCACTGCCAGAACGTTTTTACTGTATTTTAAGTTTGGGCCAGAGACACATTTAATGTCGCGTCTTAGTCACAATGACCGCGTCGGTGCTGTATTGGAGCCATTGCTGTATTGCGGAAGACCCATGGTCACAGGCAATTGGCACATTAGTCTATAATTGGCAAAATTGTTGCTAGATAAACAAACACACCTAATGACAACTTGAGGAAGAACCGCAAAGAAAATCCCCAAGAATTGAAATCCAGTAAAAACATTGGAAAAGAGAATCGAAAGGGAAAAACTGTTCTTTCCTGGAGAGATTAGCAATAACGAATTTTATTGCTCAAAACATATGTACTACAACATTTATTTCGAATTTCGAACGAAGAACCTGGATAAAACATCACCATATTTAACTTTATCAGATTTTAATTTCTAAAATTCTGTTATATCAAAGCAAACCTTACCTCAAACATTTAATGTACTAGTACCATAATCATAGGATAAAAATATCTTACCTCGTTTCTTTTTAACGGGTACATCATCGTCAACATCTTCTTTAGCCATCGGCGTCCAAGCTGGATCAGAATCAGAATCGGCAAAGTCTCCAGGCTCATCAAACTCATCATCTCTCGCTATTAATTGTTTAATTGTACACTTATCTTTAGCAGCTCGTTTACACGTTTCTCTTCGCGGAGTCACTGTAGGTTTTATTTTCAACTCTCTATTCTCTTTAATTTTCGTTCTATCTTTATACTCTTTATTTTTCTTTTTATCAGCCGGACCACCAACTTTCGGCGGTCTTCCTTTTCTCGGTCGATCTTTAATCGGTTCTTGTTTGAATGAAGTTGCTAATTTCCGATTAAAGTAATCATCTTCAGAACTAAAACCATCATCAGAACTGTCAAAAGTATTTTTATTTCTTTCTTTTGGTAATGGAAAATAACGAGGATCATCTTGTGGATCACCTTGGGATATTGGTCTTGGATAATATTGGTTGGGCATTTGTTGATGTTGAGATAAATGTATATTTTGAATGTTTTGTATATTATGGTTACTTTGAATAGGTGTAATTATTCCGTTAGTATCTTTTGGGAGTTCGTTAATATTCGTTAATTTTCGCCATGATGATTGTTTTCGATTATTTCTTGATGTTGGAGGAGGTGAACTTTCTTTTTCACCTTGCAAAAATTTTAAATAACTATTCATAAAACCAGCAGTATGTGATTTTGGTTCTGAAGCTTTCATTCCGTAGTTATTTCTATCTGAAGTCAGTTCGACTTCAGATAAAAAATTTAATTCTTCCTCGATATTAGGAACAATAACCTTCGATTGATCCTCTTGCTGTTGTTGCTGTTGCTGTGTAAACGAACCATTTCCATTATTATTAGAATTAGTATTCAGATGAGATTGTTCACCATAGTTTGTTATAGAATCTACGGAAGATGGATATTCATTTGTATGATGATGTGGTAAATGAAAAGTGGGAAAATAAGGAATAGGAGGAGGTGGTCCATGAACCATTATTCCTTGATGTTGGTGTTGATGAATCGGTTGAGAAGCAAATAATTTTGGTTGGTTCCATCGTTCGAATTCGAAGTAAGTCCCGTTTTGTTGTTGATTACTCCCTGACGTGTGAGCTGGAGGTGGAATTGGGTTAGGATAATAATTTTCCATTGACGATGAACTTGATTCCGGTTTATTATCGCCGCTTTTTCTTCTACGATTGTTGTGATGTTTATCTTCTTGTTTGATATCAGATGATGCGATACAATTTTGTTGAAGATTTTTAACAATACTCATTGGATCACCTCGACAACTCGATAAATCAGTCATCGTAACTTGATTATTACTCGATGAATCATAATATTGTTGCCTATCCATATTCAAAAGATTTCTATTTTGCAAATTAGGTATTTCCATATTTGCGTAATTCGCTTGAGGCGGAAATTTTCTTCTTTCGTCCCAACAGTTTTGATTGTTCCCTTGAAATCGTTCGTTGTTTTTCGTAATAACCGAAGAATAAACAATATTTCCACTTTGTGAGCTAGACGGACCAGTTTGTTGATGATTAGTTCTTGAAACGGAAGCATCCAAAGGTGGTGTAACTTGATTTGACTGTTGAGGTGATGAAATACTACTTAATGGACTGTTGTAAAGTGGATATCCAGAGCTAGGTGAATGAGAATGACTCATTGGAGATGGTTGAGAATGTAACGGACTCGGTTTTCGATTCGTATCCGCACCATTTTCATTTCCATAATGGCGATAAGTACCAAAATTTCTTTTATTGCCAGCCCAATTATTAGGAGAAGATTGATTCTGTTCTTGAGGCTCATTGCGACTACGATCGCCCGATCCCAATTCGGGATAAATCTTCGTTTGGGCTTTCGTTTGAATTTGAGATTGGACTGAACTTTTCTCAACGGTTACACGATTTACCGTAGTATTTCTTACCGATGGTGATGTAACAATACAAGTTTGTGGTAGATTCACAGCACTGGGGCTTCTCGGACGCGGTCCGCACTTATTCACATGTTGCGGAACAAAATGCGCGTTAAAATTCTCATAACCTCCGCCCGTTTTTGCACCACCCGTTTCATGCGGTAATATCCCAAACGGTCCGCTTTGTTGCCAAGCTGCAGCATTTTGATCAAAAAATCCTTGATGATACTCCCCATCAGAATTTTGCTTGGGATTCGCAACGTTAGCTGTCGATTGCGATTGAGCTAACGCTTGTCGATGTTGATTAACGTAGTGTGAGGGAGGTTTTGCAGCTCCACCAGGGTGAAAGAGTGGGCTGAAGACTTCGTAGCCAACCGGAGGAGGCGAAAGAAAACCCGCGGGAAGTATTTGAGTTGCTGATGTTGTAGAGGTAGGTGCGGTTGAACCCGCTGGTAAATGGTGAAGATCACCAGTTGTGGTCGGGGCTTGAACCGCCGCCAACCGGTTGTATGGGTATGTAGACCATGGTCCCACTGGATCCATATCTATGGTATAGTGTTATGGAACATCAACCAAGACGCCATGCAGCTTTGACATCTGTGAAATTATATTACAAATTAATATAGATGAAGTAAAAAAATATTACTACATTTATTTTTTAGGATTAATTAATTCTTTTTGTAATCATTATTTCAAAATGTATATAAAGTGTATCAAAACAAACTTAATTAATATCAGGCTTCCCTAAATAAATCTCTAATTAACTCAATTCAGTGACTTCAAATTACTGAGTTGCCTATATAATGCATATCAAAAATTATAATGCAATGCACAAACAATGAAAATTACATGTGCTTTTTACAGACCATCAAATATTTTGGTCCTAGATGTATTCTATAATCTTTTCAAATAAATTAATGAATTTGATGAAACGCGGTTAACATTAAATCTTTACGTGAGTTATCATCTGATCATTCTGCACACATTATTGAGGTGATAAAAACACCCCATGTGATCAACGTTAAAACAGCAAAAATTAAATGAAGACTTTGAAAAAATTAACCTAAATTTTCTCCTCGGATATTTAACCCTTTAAGGACCAAGGTCGGATATACAGGGAGTTTTAAGTGAAACTCCCAGGCCAAGTATGTTTTCATTGCACAAAAATAAAAGTGGCGCTTCAAAAGAAACTTTCGCTTCAACACAAACTTTTTATGAGGTACTTACATGTGATAGAACATCGAAAACTGTACAATTTTCCTTATTAACATTGATTTCAAAACTAAAAATATTTAATTCTTTAAGTTTATGGCTGGGATTTAGGGATAACTTCACACTAGCGTCTTCATTTGGGAAAAAACGCTCATACAAGGACGCCTTGTTGCAATGTGGCTTCACTACTATTATTGAAGGAAATCTTCAAAAACCTGAATGCGTTTTATATAATAAAGTTCTCACAGCGGAAAGTTTGAAACCTAGCAAATTAAAGGAACATTTTGAGAGAATTCACAGGCAGCATATAAAAATGCTGAAATTATCACGTTTGGATTCTACAAGAAATTTACAAAAAACAAGCGACTTATACATTAAAGTTTCATACCATATTGCACATCGCATTGCTGTTAATAAAAAAACACCATAGGAGATCTTATAAAACCTTGCATAGTGGATGCAGTAAAGTTTGTTGTGAGCGAACAATATGTTGCTAAAATTAATCAAATATTTCTCTCCACCAGCACAATTCAAAGTCGTATTGAAGAAATGAATTAGCCTAATCTGAACTAAAAGCATGTCCCATGTTTGCAGTTGGACGAGTCAACTAACGTGTCTTCGTGTTAAAGAATATTTGTTTTCTAAATCGCTTCCAACCACTACGCGCGGTGAAGATGTAATTCTCACTCTAAAACAATTTATTGAGGAAAATGATCTGAAGTGGTCATCATGTGTTCGTTCTGGTTTTCAAGCATTCGTGAAACAAGTTGCCCCACAACGCATAACTTATCACTGCATGATACAACGATATGCCTTGGCTGTTAACACGCTACCTTCAAATTTCGTGACCGTGTTTAATGATTTAGTGAAAATTTGCAATCATATTCCGAGCGGTGTTATGTCATGAAGTTTGTTACGAAATTTGATGCACTAGTGTTCGATACCGAAGTACGTTGGCTGTCAAGGGGATATGTTTTAAACAGAGTATTTAAGATGCGCGAAGAAATAGCTTTGTTTTTTGAAAATCGTAAAACAGAAAAGAAGGCATTTATCTCTATGTTGGCGTATTTGACTGACTTTTTTAGTGAAATTAACACATTATATCTCTCATTACAAGAAAATATGAGCAATATTCTGATGAGCGCAAGACAAGATTGCTGTTTTTTTGCGAAAACTAGAACTTTACAAACGTAGCGTTCAAGTTAATAACATATCACTTGTCTTGAAACATTAACCGCATACAACGAATAAATATGCTATTTCACTAATTCCATAGTTCAGAGGGTAGGAAAAAATTACGATGACTTTATTTTAATCAAAAATCATTGATTTTTTTTTAAATCAAAGTATTTTACGTATCTTTTATTTTTTAACCTTGGTTTTGATCTTTTCAAGTAAGTACGGACGCATCATTCAGGGTCACTTAATAAGGAAGAAAAAATAAAGTGTTTTGGAAGTCTTTGTATGTAACGTAAACATATCAGTTGATGGTTGGTCTAATGTACTTACGTAATGACTCTATCCTGTGTGTCACAATAACTACTGAACGTGGAAACGCATTCTTGTATGAAACAATAGAACTGGTGTGAAGTTATCCATAAATCCCAGCAATAAACTTAAAACATTAATAATTCCGTAACCAATACGATTTGGGTAACCAAATTTCACACACAGGTCACTCTTACCCTCAAGAACAGCTAACCACCCCCATTTGGTAAAAAAAAAATTTTTCAACCCTCACCCCCGAAAAAGGGATGTTTTCGCCCTGATGGGCACCTTCGAATTAAACGAAATTCTACCACATAATAGAACACACTTCTAAGTATTTTTATCAATTTTCAAAACACCGTAAGCCCTAACGGTTTTCGAGAAAAAAAATCAGTATTATAAACCGCGGATGGGACTTTAGGGGTGAATTTGACCCCGTTGGGCACCT